GGCAACCTGGTGTAGTGGAGGGTGTCCCTGCCCATGGCAGGGGGGTTGGAACTGGCTGATCTTTGAGGACCCTTCCAACCCAAACCATTCTATGATTCTATGAATCCAGAGAAGGATTTTAAAAATGTTTTTTGAAGTATCACCTGCTGTTGAAATGACTTTGAAAACAGTAGGAAGACGCACAGACACGGAGCACCTCCTTTCCAAGTGTGCACAGAGCCCGAGCACGGAGCACCGAGCTGTGACAGACCCTGGCACGCACCAGCCACAGATTCAGCCTTTGGTCATTTCTCCGCAAGCTTGCCGTAGGCAAACAACCGACATTTGGTTTTCCCGCTTGACAAAACAGTCCTGTATCTTCTTTTTCTTCTTTTTTTTCCCCCCTTTTTTCTCCACGAGAGGGAGTTTACTGGATTACAGTGCATTTTTCAGCTGGCTCTCAGGAACAGGAGGGATGGCCACGGGCTGTGCATCCGGGCTCGTCGGCAGAGCCAGCGCAGAGCAGAGAGAGCCCACAGAGCCGGAGACTCGCAGTGCCTCAAACACCTCTTGTCCAGGACACCTCTTGTGCCACCAAGGCCAAGACCTCAAAATATGGACCACCCCAAAACATGGAATTTCACTAGCCTTGAAACGCTCCAGTGAAGTTTCCCTTACAAGTCAAAACTGTCTGAGTTCAGGGGTCCTGGAGGAGGCTTTAGGATATTCCAAGAACAAACGCACGCTGCTGTGGAAATGCAGGAGCTCTTGCTGCTGACTGCGCCCTGGTTACGCTGTCAAAGTCCTTACGACAAAAACAAGCCCATCACCTGGCTAAGGCAGTCCCTGAACTAAAAACGTACTGCAAGACAACACTACTGGCCAATTCTAGGCATGAACAGGGTCCAGGAGAACTCGCTAAGGCAGGAGACCCTTCTCCTGTGCAGATTCCACGGAAGCACGGGCAGCACAGGACCTGCCGGGGCACAAGGATCAGCGAGGCTGCTTCAGCCACAGCTGCATTCCTACTGAAAATGATGAGAAGTAATAAATATTATGTTATTGCCAAGCAAGTGCTGCTGGAGCCACCTACACAAGTGCATTGATTGAACTGCTCCTGCAATGGAAAACATAGCGGCACAAGGAAGACACAGTGGATAAAATTTGGTTATTATTCTATTTACAGCCAGCTAGTGCTGAAATCAGATTGGATTCCTACACACAAAGTCAAAGACAAATTTTAAAAATCCTCTTTTTCCAAGAAATGGCCTTCCTTCCATAAATCTGTACTTAATTTCATTAAAACCTGATAAACTATTTGTAGCATGATCTATTTTCAGATACTCTAGAGTGCCAACCACAACACTGGCATGAAATAAATCCTCCTGCTACCCTGACTGGCCTTTCTGGGCATGCTCCTCAAAAACACATCCTTCTACCTACCTATAGTCATATTTTAGATTAAACAACTTTTCTGCTCCATGTAGATTTCTTTTAAATATAAATTGAGAATAAAGTGAACGATTATTACATTTGAATTTATCAGAAACACGGAGGGCAATACATATTAGCTGCATGTAGGACCTGTTTCTAAAATTCAGAGCGCAATTACAAAACTTATTTAGTATGTTAACATTTCAAAAATGGAAGTTGTTAGAAGAAACAATGCTTCTTTCATTCTTTGTAAAATGCTCCTTAGACTAAAACACACACATACACAAAAACGCACTGAGAAAGTAAGCCCGGATGCACATATACTTGGTGATAGGGTTTCAACAGTTTTCTATTGCCTTATTCATTCTGGAAGGGGAAAAAAAAATAATCTAAAACACTACCACAGGAAATCCAAAATTTTTTTTTGCCAACTGGAGAAAGCTGGGATTCAGTGAAGTTCCTAACTTTACGAGTTAGTTAAAGTTTCCTAACTTTACAAGTTCAGTCCATAATTCCAACCTTATCCAAACGTGTACGTGTATGTATCCAAATGACATCCTTATTACGTGACCGTGTATGTATAAAGGGATTGTGAAGAACACACACAGAGGAAGAAAAATCTGATTTCAAATGGAGAAAGAAATGCCAAACTGCATAAGGAGTCTTGTAGCTGCATTTCTACCAGTGTAACCACCACAGGTACTAGTTAGGTCTAAGAGCTTGAACTGGTGAAGCAGATTTCCATCCCCTTACTGAAATGAGTAATGCTAGAAAAAGTGTTTTTACACTGGCTTTAAGTGTCATTAGCATTCCTTCCATAGATTCCTTAACTGCATCAAAATAGCTGAAGCACCACAGTTCCTGTTTATTAAACACATACAAGACAATAAAGGTGGATCATAAATATTAATTCTGGCCACAGCTCCCCGACTTACACTCTAAGAGCACTGTGTGTAACTCCCACCCACACTAATTCCTGCTATAATTCTCCTGAGGACAGCGACACTAAGCATGAGAATGGTGCTTTGTCTTGTGAAGAGGATGCTGAGGATGCCGGAGGCTGGGAAGCGGGGTTGGCAGGGAAGGGGAACAAACATCAGGATAAAATGGCAACTAGAAAATTGGAGCTATATAGTACTAAAAATCCTTCACAAACAGTTCAGTATAACCGATGCAGAACCACTGACAGTTATTTTACGTTCCTCTAGACATGACCCAAAGCACAGCGCATCTCAGAAAGAACGACAGAAAATAAACCATCTCCAGGGCGTTCTCACCCACACGACCTGCCCGCACCTACCACGGAAGGAAGAGCCTTGCCTGGGGAAGCCGGGGGCGACACCGGGCAGCTCCCGCTGCCCCACCAACGGTGCCCAACCCGAGCCATTACGCTCAGATGTTTGCTGCAGACTAAGCTGCACACACCAGCCTGAAAACAATCTGGTCTAATTTTGTCCAGCCATTAAGCAGATAAATCTACTTAATCTTCCCCAGGTCAATGGACAACAGACAAGCTATTACAAGTATTTTCCAGCAAAAACTGCTGTCAGTGCAACAGGTTTGAGTGTAAGGGTTCCTTACGTACATCCACCCGGGCAAACATCGGTAGTGTGGTACAACAGTCGCGTGCCAATTAATTAAAACTAAATGCTGTTAAATGCTAGCTTAGTTACAGAGCATTTAAAACCAGTGATTAATACAGAAATCAAGGATGAAGTATCAAACGCTGCATGTGTAGGGATTGTTTAGATGACGCAGCAATCTAAAGTTATCGTTTTTCTAATTTGCAAACCATTTATGAACATTCTATTTTCGAAAAGAATTTAAACCACGGACAACTAGGCTAACAAGTTGTGAAAGGACAGGAGAGATAACAGTAAACGTAAATATAAAACTATCAAAACTTCTATTTCTCTCCTGACTTATGTATGTGCACACAAACAACAAAAAAAACACCACAGCCACTTGAACACAAGCAAATTATGTCAAGTGTGATTTCGGACCACGCTCACCTTGCAGCAAGTATCTACTCGTGCTACTTGCAAAAGTGCTACTTGCTACCATTGCCTTTTGAGTGTCTGGGTGCCAGGATTTCACTGCACCAACACCAGTACCCCATCTTCAAAATAGTTTTTTTTTGTTTTAAATGAACCATAGAAATAAATTAAGTAAAGTTAATGCAGGCTTTTGCTGAAGCAAGCAAGTAATGTGCTGTGCCAAAAATAGAACTCATCCTGTTTACTGTTACTACATTTGCAAAGTTCAGTATGAAAATCTGTATCTGTGAAAGTAAAAGAAAGTATTTGTGAAGGTGAAAGAAAAAAACTAAAGGATATTTAATAGAAAATAAGCTTTCAATTCCCATCCTTCTGAATATAACCTTCTTAATATATTTTCTCTTCTTCTGATACCGAATGGATTGGATATACAGGTTTTGTTTTATTCAGCTTTATGTTCTTCTACCAGTTCTAGTAACTAAAAAAAAAAAAAAAACCACAACAAAGAATGAACTTTCTAATGTGAAGAGCCACTCCATAGTGTCCTCCAGAGCACCCTCTGCAAAGGCACACGCATGCTCCCGCTCCCCGACTCCCACGCAGCATCGGAAGGTGTCCTGCTGCAACTCCAGCCTGGGAAAGCCGAATCGATGCTCCCAGCTTGACATGACACACAAACCCCCTGCAAACTGGTGTGGGAGTCAGTGTGTTCAAGGCAAAGCGAGGGCTGCAAAGAAGGAAAACTGAGGCAGGCAGAAGACAAGGTAGTAGCGATCTCCAGATGAGCCATCCTGCCAGAAATGGGCTTCTTTTCCTGGAGACTCTGTTTAGGTAAGAAGTCTCTGTCCAAAGCACTCATCAGTGGAAGAAAATATCAGCCTGCTAAAGGTGAGGGAATAATAAGGTCAACTAAAGGAAACAAAAAATGAAATGAAAATACAAAAATAAAAACATGACACACAAGGACGATAAGAGAGAGACGCATTCTGTGCATTGAACCACACTGTGCATCACCAGAAAGGAGCTGAACACGCAAGGTCCATGCTCAAACATAAAAAGGAAGCCTACAGAGGGTGCAAACAGGACAGGTAGCCTGGGAGGAACTCAGAGAAACTATCTGAGCAACCAGGGATCACGTTAGGAAAGCTGAAGCCCTGATAGAGTTAAATCTGGCCAGGGCCATCAAAGGCAACAACAAAAGCTTCCAGAGATATGTCAGTGATAGAAGGAGGACTACGGAAAATGTGTGCCTTCTCTGGAAGGAAATGGGACACCTGGTGACCCAGGATATGGAGAAGGCTGAGGTACTCGATGACGTTTTTGCCTCTATCTTCACTGGCAAGAGCTCCAGCTGCAGAGAAAGCAAAGGCAGGGACTGGGAGAATGAAGAACCGCTCACTGTAGGAGATGATCAGGTTTGAGACCATCTAAAGAACCTGAAGATGGACAAGTCCATGGGACCTGATGAGATGCATCCACGAGTCCTAAGGGAATCGGGGGATGAAGTTGCTAAGCCACTATCCACTGTATTGGAGAAGTTGTGACAGCCTGGTGAAGCTCCCATCAACTGGAAAAGGGGAAACATAGCCTCCATCTTTAAAACGGGAAAAAAAGAAGACCCAGGGAACTACGGGCCAGTCAGTCTCACCTCTGTGCCCAGCAGATCCTCCTGACAACTATACTAAGGCATATGGAAAATAACGGGGTGATTGGTGACAGCCAACATGGCTTCACTAAGGGCAAATCCTGCCTGACTAATTTGGTGGCCTTCTATGATGAGGTTACAGCATTGGTGGATAAGGGAAGAGCAACAGATGTCATCTACCTGGACTTGTCCAAAGCATTTAACACTGTCCCATACAACATCCTTGTTTCTAAATTGGAGAGACATGGTTTTGATGGATGGACCACTCGGTGGATAAGGAATTGGCTGGATGGTCGCACTCAAAGAGTTGTTGTCAACTAGATCAATGTCCCAGTGGAGGCCAGTGATGAGTGGTGTTCCTCAGGGGTCAGTACTGGGGCCGGTGCTGTTTAACATCTTTGTTGGTGACATGGACAGTGGGATCGAGTGCACCCTCAGCAAGTTTGCAGATGACACCAAGTTGTGTGGTGTTGTGGACACGCCGGAGGGAAGGGATGCCATCCAGAGGGACCTTGACAGGCTGGAGAGGTGGGCCTGTGTGAACCTCATGGAGTTCAACAAGGCCAAGTGCAAGGTCCTGCACGTGGGTTGGGGCAATCCCAAGCACAAGTACAGGCTGGGCGGAGAATGGATGGGGAGCAGCACGGAGGAAAAGGACTTGGGAGTGCTGGTGGGTGAGAAGCTCACCATGAGCCGGCAATGTGCACTGGCAGCCCAGAAAGCCAGTCGTGTCCTGGGCTGCACCCAAAGCAGTGTGGGCAGCAGGGCGAGGGAGGGGATTCTGCCCCTCTGCTCTGCTCTCCTGAGACCCCTCTGCAGTGCTGTGTTCAGCTCTGGGGTCCCCAACACAAGAAGGACATGGAGCTGCTGGAGCGGGTCCAGAGGAGGCCACGGAGATGATCCGAGGGCTGGAGCACCTCTGCTATGGAGACAGGCTGAGAGAGTTGGGGCTGTTCAGCCTGGAGAAGAGAAGGCTCCGGGGAGACCTTCCAGCACCTTCTGGTGCCTAAAGGGGCTCCAAGAAAGCTGGAGAGGGGCTTTGGACAAGGACATGGGGCAATGGCTGTAAACTGAAAGAGGGGAGATTTAGATTAGATAGAAGGAAGAAATTTTTCCCTCTGAGGGTGGTGAGGCACTGGCACAGGTTGCCCAGAGAAGCTGTGGCTGCGCCATCCCTGGAAGTGTTCAAGGCCAGGTTGGATGGGGCTTTGGGCAACCTGGTGTAGTGGATGGTGTCCCTGCCCATGGCAGGGGGGTTGGAACTAGATGATCTTTGAGGCCCCTTCCAACCCAAACCATTCTGTGATTGTAGCAAGCTCCCACTTGCTCCTTGTAACAAAATGAGGAAAAACACGTCTAAACTCTGAGAAAACATGGGACCTTCACAACTGCTACTAAAAATGGAAAAGGGTGGCCAACACTCTCTGGGTAAGGGAAAAGAGAAGAGACGTGTAAGGAAGTCACAGCTATTTTTAGGATTGCAGTGCTTCCAAAATTACATCTCTAACAAAAACTTTTCCAAAGGCGTAGAGGGATTTAAACCAGGCGTTCAAGGTGCTCAGGTGTCGTTTGTAACCTTTTCTAACCAGCTTTTAATCTGACTGTGGTTTGCATGTCCCCTTCTGAAACTCCGCTTTCAATCACGACGTGCAATCCGTTTAATAATACGACTGTGGGAGATGCAATTCTCATTAAACTAACGAAAAGCACCCTTATGAAGAAAGGAATCTTTTCCTATTGACCTTCCTCTGGCTTCTTCCTCACAGGCAAAAGTCTAAGCTTTCCTTACTGTAGAGAATGATTAGGAGTAACTTGATTGAAAAAAAAAAGCTGAAACCCAATTAACAAAATTACCAGTCCCTGACTCACTCAGCAGACTGCCACGACCTTTCGCATCAAGAAAAGCAAAGCAGGAAGATTCCCCGCGAGCAGACACAACTCCGTGGGACCCCGGCACGTGACTATCAAAGGACTGTTCTGTGTGGTCTGGGTGGATTTATCCCAGAACTACAAAATCACCCATTTAACCTCAAATTTGAAAGCCTGTACTGGATGATGCCAACGAAACCTTTCCCGAAGCCCTCTGCAGCCTTCGGCTCCACAGCATCCTGCAGCAGTAAGTTTCACAGTGTCGTTCTGGGTTGTATGAAAAGGATGTTCCTCCTTTCTTTTAATTTGCTTTGAAGTTACTGCCTCGTCGTTTCAGCACTTTCCTTCTGACATGAGAAAAATAATGAAATATTTCTGTGCAATTAATGGTTTCCCTTGCCCAGCTACCCTCTCCCAAGGTGAAGAATCCCAGCATACATTTTAGTCTACTTCAAAATTACTTCAAATTACTTCAAAACTACATTTAGTTTGTTCCTTCCATGTTTCCACATGCACTTCAAAGGTTCAAAAGCAGAAAAAAAAAGTAACAAACATCTGATTTCATCAAGAATCGACAAAGCTGAAATTCCATCAGTACTGATGATTTCAGTACAACTGACAATGAGTGATCATAAAAAGCACATAGTTAATTACTGAAATTCTCAGGAACTGATTTTCTGATAATACAGGATGTGCTTAACCTTAAACACACATGCTGCCTTGAAAAATCTCCTTGTTCTGTCTTGAAAGTCAGCCAGCAACAACCCCTAAGTTTACCCACACAGAGCAAAAGGAAAATTTAAATTTCTAATACAGTATTTGGATTATGATGCAAAATCGTGCACAATAAACTGTGTGTGGATATTCACACCTAATAAAAGCACTTCAAATTGCTAAATTCCAATGCACAAGGTCTCAAAAATTACAGAAAAGACAGACCTATCAGGTGAAATCAAACCTTTATCACCACTTCATCAAACACTTTCTCTCTTGATTTAACCTGTCGAGTCTGAGAACTGCACAAGCAGGGTTAGGACCATCATGGCAAGTAAAAGTCTGAAATTTCTCAGTGACACTAAAATAGTGTGCTTAAAAGCCTAAAAGAACAAAACTGTGGCTAATATAGATCATGCAATGCAACCCCTGACCTTCCACGTAGCGTTTTGGTCACAACAGAGCTTCCCTACAGGCTGACTTCTTTTTCACAAGCACCGTGTCGACTGTCTGCTCCAAATCTTCTCACCTACCAAAATATTTCAGGCTGCACACACAAAGTAGACCTTCACGTTTTCAGAGCAGCCAGACTAGACCGTAAAACACACAACAGCACTGCACATCGAACACACGCGTTGGGAGAAGTGGGCATTTCAGATAGGAAAGCACTCGTTCCTGCAGTTCCTGACTCTGTACCGGGATAAACTTCACTTATTTCAAAACCACTCCAGCTGTAAGATAAAGTGTTGCATAGATTGTGATGGAAGTTATTTCTCCCCCACTCCCTCCATCCTTCTCCATTTCCCTTATGCTTCATGAGCACAACGCAACCGATTTCGGACTCTTTAGATAAAAGCAGGACCCATGCATTTGATGGCAAGCTGAACTTAAACTCTGTAGACCGGAAATTCTGAAGAATGATTCTGCCTAAAACCATTATTACAAGCTCATGACAGCTTTTGTTGCTATGTTATTAAAGGTACACTGAAAAAAAATCACTGGAGAAAAACTCCTGCGCAACAACTCTGTCCTAACTAGTGCTACACCCAACTCTTCTTGTTAGATGCAAATGATGTTTAACTTACACAATCTCAACACCATCCTACTGCACAGCACGCTTGACCTCCACCAAGCGAGTCCATCTGCTCCCCAGGAGCACACATCATACGTTAATCCTTACTTACACGTGCTTTCTGTGGAACTCCAGAATCTTTCCTTCGATTCTTTCCTGGTTTGGCAAATATTGGTTTGTTTTAAGGTGTTCTCGATCCTCTGATTCATCGAAATCCCCTATTTCAGCTATTACAGAAAACAAAACAACGTTAGAGTAAGAAGAAACAACGGAAAAGGAACAACGACAGAAAATACTTGGTAAGGAATTACGGAGAGCCCAACAGCCAGAACATGTTGTCCCTTGAGTGCTTCAAATTTGCACGTTACGCTTTGTGTCCAGCTTCATTTTACAAAAAGCTCGTATTTATCCCAAGTAGACTCCCTGGGGATTACAGCAGTATTTTAACATCATTTGGATAATTTAGACTTCTTTACAGTCAAAGATGTGAGACTTGTAGAAGACCCATGAGGTGGTCTAAACATTTCTTCCTTACAGATAGCTCATACCAAACCAGCATATTTCAATTTAATTCTTCTAAATATATGTAAAATAGTTATTGACAAGCCTACCTGGGAAAAGGGCAAGTTAGATTTCAGGAATTACCCAAAAATAAATACATAGCAAAAAGCAAAAGCAGTGTTATGTGACTATAAATCCCCACAGTGCCTACATCTTGAGTTTTGGTCTCTCCTTCACACGATGAATCCATCTTTAAGGTCCCTTCCAAGCCAAACCATTCTATGATTTTATGATCTACACCTTCCAGAAATGACGCTGTGGATTTAAGAAGAGATTTACAGCAGAAAAAAGCATGAATCAAAGGTGCAGAACAGCTTTCATCTGATAAGACATGAAATGCTCAGAAGTCTTTGGCTTGGAAAAGAAAAGTATGAGGCAGGCAGAATGTATAACAAAAATCACATGTTGAATAAATAAATTTTAAAAAGTTATTTACTTTTTCTGATAATAAAATATGAAGTTACAATATTAAATTAAAATGCAGAAGTTTTAAAAAGGCAAAAGGATACACATTATCCTACAAACCTCCCAAAAATTAAACTGTGCAGCTCGTTTTCACGGAAGGATGCCAAAAACTACAAGCAAATTCAAAAATTAGACAAATACGTGGAAGAAACGTTCATCAAGGGCCACTAAACAAAGAGATGCAGAGTCAGTCTTTGACTTAGAAAGGCCACATGCAAAGATCACTGGATGGATGCAGTAAAGGAGGTATTGCCATGTGCTTGCTCTGTTTCTGAGGGCTTCCCCATGGCATCTGCTACCATCTACGGTCAGAGAAAGGAGAGTGGACTAAAATGAACCAATAATTTCATCCAAGGCAGCTGTGCTTAAAAAAAACCACAGCAATATCCTGTTTAAAATCAAGCCAGAATACGAAACACAATAAAAATCCTGAAAGGCACTTCCATAAAATAACTTATGTTAAAAATAACCATATTCTTTCTCACTTCTAGTAGAGCGGAAGCAAGCCAAGCACAGCCAGACACTGAGGTTTGCTCACCAGCTCCACGCTGCGCTGCTGGAAAATTATGAGCAAATTTTAATCGTGTCACCCACTGGTGGCAGCTCAGGTTACAGATTCCGAAATGCCGTACCACTTGGCTGCTGCTCGAACTGATCTGGTGTCTGAACCCGCTCAGGGCTTTCAACCTGCTCATCTCGAAGGCCACGTTTTCAGGTCTTCAGGTGCGTGCAGAACTGGGCGAGCAGCAACATGAAGAGCTTCCAAATCAATTGCTTCCCATTTCCATTTTCCCTCGCAGCAAGGAGGAAAGCTGCTGACGATCCTACTTTGGAACTTGCTCTGGCACGTTGCTGGTTTTATTTCAGCCCAGTGTCTATACACTTATCTCCCCCAGCCACAGGGAAATTGAGAAATGAAGCCAGGGAAGCGCAGAGGCAGACGGGAGCAGCTGTTTGGAAGTTGAGGACCACTAGTGACCTGCTTTGCAGAGCCAGGGAAAACAGGCAACACGCCAGGGGTTTGGTTTCGTGCAGCCTCCACGAAGCCAAAGTCATCTCGTACGTAAGCACCTGCTGTCCCCCCCCCACGGCTCGCCCGGATGGCAACCCCAGTGCTCCAAAGCAGCGAGTTTACTGCGTGCACAGAAGGAAACGCTGCGAGACGGAAAACGCTCGAAGTGACCCAAAGCTTGTGTGCACTGTTTCACTGGGCCAGCAGCGACGTCGCCGCGGCGGAGATACTCACACTGCAGAAGGTGAGAGACCAGGAGAGCGGCCGTGTTGTCGCTGCAGGTCAGCCGTTCCTCCGCCAAGTCCCTCTTGATTTGCAACGCGAACAGGTACCTGGGAGAGAGTTGCAAGCACCAGTTACAAGCACCACCTTGACACGTGAAAGAACGATACAACGACTCAGCAGGGTTTTATGAAACCAGCCTCTCCCAATTCTTCCTCTCTCCAAAGCCAAGGTAACGCAGAAGCCTTGCTACCAAGGACGGTCAAATCAAATCAAACAACCTGTGACTAATCCAGTGCAATTTATCAGCATAAACGAACACGCAGGGACATGGAAGCAGAAGGAAAAACGTGCTTTTGTCAAGTTTAATTTCTGAAGTAATAGCAGCTCTAATCTTTAGCTGGAATGAAACTTAACGAATACTTCGAGTGGCTTTATCCGTTAGAACCAAGATGGGAGAACATCACTGATTCTAATATCTTGTTAGGAAAAATAATGGGTATTTCTGCTAGCACTCAATTAATTTGCTCAGCGGTTGTATTTTCCAGCACTATAATGTTAGCAACCTACGAAGAGTAAGAAATTAAATTTCCTTTCCTTACATCGCTATACTCATTTAACTAAAGTGTTTCCCAAATCAGTTGTTAAAGAGGAATAGATTTCTGTTTAAAAGTTTTGTGTAAGTAAAAAGCTGCCTGCAAACACACAAGGAGAGAAGAAAAACACAGCAGCCTTGAAAGTGTGCTGATAAGGGCCGATTTAGTAACCTAAACCAATTTTAATTTAGTTACGAATGTCATGCTGGCAAGTCCTTTGTGCTTTGCGTTTTACGTGCAAGAAGGTGCAACAAGGACTGCAGTGAAGAGGCAACACCTCACTGCCATGAACCTCTGAGCTGACAGACTGCTCGCTGCTTTCTTTACTGAATCACACCCTGAAAGAGAACAGTAATTTTTTTTTTGTAAAGAAGAATTAATTTTAAAACATTACGTATCACACTCTTGAGGCAAAAAGGTAATAAAAGGTATACATTTTGAATGTGGGAGCTTTTTTAAATTTAACCACTCTAAGTATGTATTAAAGACTTTACAATAAAGCATGCTCTGTTTTCTGCATATCTGACTGAGCAGCCTTGATTTCTTCAATACACTCACAATAAAGCGTACATAGCACTAACAGCATTATGAAATACCTAGATGCTCTAAGCACAGATCAGAATTCCACAATAAATACTCCATAAATAGGCAAAAATACAGTTCCTGCTCCAAAAAGCTGTATTCCTAATGAAACTCCTACAAGAAACAGCAATTAACCTAAGAAAATTGAGAGAAATGGAAATATTTAGATAGTATTTATCGTTACAAGAGACAATCGCATCACATCATGGCAGTTATGCTGGTTTGCTGTAAAATAAGTCTGAAGGATAATAAGGAACTGCTGTGATCTCTAGAAGGAATTCCAACTAAAGTAGTTAACACTGGGAAAAGTACTAAATGAGCTCTTCAAGCACTCAAATCCTGGGTAATGTCCTTGTTGGAGGCACAGACTCCAAACCACGTTCCCAGGGGCTAGCAAGTGGACAGGTCTGCTTAATTGACCGAAGATCAATTACTGATCAGCAAAAGCCACCCATGATGATGAGCATCGGTGAAAAACGTGCAGTAAAGCGTGCTTGCTAGTTGTAGGATACTTCAAGCACGGACTTTGGAAATGTCAATGATAAATAATTTATTAAAATATGTGCAGATTATCTTCTATAGGTACTGTTTATAAACGTTAGTATTTCCTCTATACCCTGTCTCTTTTGCACCGTGATGCTTGGCAAGCCCTAACCTACACTGTTTTCTGTTTTGCAAAATATTTTTTCTGCCAACATTCATCTGCCGACACGTGTCTGCTAAAACCGTGACGCCAATAAAAAAAACGGGCTCTTCCACTCATCTTCAGTGGAAGCTTTGTTGGGAACCAGATGCAATGTCCTCCTAATCTTAGCTTCCTATTATTTCAGTAGGTAACGTAAACCAAATTCTTCAAAGAACACTTTACCTAGTATATTCCTCTTGCAACTGCCCCGGGTCCGGAGGGAAAAACTTCACAGCTAGACGAAGCATTGTAGTCTTTGGTCCTACAAGAAAAGTTAGTTATTTCACAAAAAACTCCTGCTCTTCATAAGCACGTGCATATTATGTTTTCCAACACGCAGAGAAATACAACGCACACCAAGTTTCAGCTTGCCAGCTAACTACAGCGGGCCTATGGGATATACATTGTCCATGTCAATGGAGATACAGCAGATAGTTTTCAGAGGAACTACCTATAGCTCTTCCAAGGCAAACCTGCAGCCCGGATGCTGTAAAGATAGTTTCACGCAACGTTAAAGCTGTAACACCCCAAAACAACTGCTGGAGTGCATGCGAAGGCGTCGCTGATGACCCGGGGAGATGTTCCCACAAGGAGAGGATGGGGAGACGCAGCAAATGGCTCTGCCAACACCAGCCGCCACCGCCGGAGCTGTCGATGAGCTGAACCCACGAGCCCAGCTGGACCCGGAGCGTGGCAGTGCGTTGGCAGCCTGCTCCCGGCGTGCCCGTTAATACCCGCTTCTTCCCATTTTTAACACTGTTCTCGTCGATCTCGACCACAGGGGGAGATTTAACACTGATTTAACACTTAAATCCTGAGTAACTATTTGGAATAGTCCGTAACACGTAACGTTTCACCACGAGCAAACCCAGCTGCGACTGGACCGCGTTAACAGTTTCGGCATCACGACTCTCAGCCTGCTGATCTGACTCGATGCCCAAACCCTCCTGTTTCACCAAGATTCCCAGAGGAATATAACAGGGCACCACAATCGCTTACCGTGCCACGCCGGCACCACCGTTCTGCTGCTGTTTTCCCGTTCTCAAAGCAGAAAAGGCTGAGCAGTTTGCAGGCTGTCACCACACTATCCAACCTCTGCTTACAGAAGCCTGCTGAGCATCCATCTCACATTTGCAGGAATCCCCTGGACAAGAGGAGGGCCACTCATCCACCGCAGCCCCACGCTCCACCGGCAGCATCTCCACTCAACCACAACACACCAAGACCTGTCCCCAGCATGCACCTTCTCACAAGGAACAAGGACAGTCCACCTTGAGCATTCCCTCATCCCTAGACATGTTCAAGGCCAGGCTGGACGAGGTTTTGAGCGACCTGGTGTAGTGGAGGGTGTCCCTGCCCATGGGAACTATGCATGGAACTACATGATCTTTGAGGTCCCTTCCAGCCCAAACCGTTCTATGATTCTATGTGGAGCTGGAGAAAGGCAGGGCAAAACGAGGAAAGACAGACCCCTTCTAAAAGTCAGAGGAAGACCGGGGAAGGGAAAAACTGGGAACTGTCTTCTTGCTAGACTCTTCTCCTCTGGGCACTAAGGGCATGATATCCACATATTTCATGATCCAGCTGAACCTCAAAGCCAGCCCTGCTTACGCGTGACCTCCAGAGGTGCCTTCCAGCCCCATCCACCCCAGGACTCTGAATGCTGCTGCTGTTCCAAAGTAAGCTTAGCCAAGTAAAAAAAAAATAATTCAAATTTGTTTGAGCATGTTGGTAAGCACGAGCCAGCCTGCTTTAACTTATTTTAAGCACCAAGATCTTTTAAAGCTTGACAAAGTCCAATTTAACCCCACCAACCTCAAAGTACACTGATTTCTTCTGTCCAGAATACCTGATTCCCACATACTAAGTGTTCCTCCACTCGCCCACCTTCTCCCTAATGGGAGAATAACAAACCTTGCTTTCTGCCCAGTAACTGATAGAACTAACTCCCAGATTATCACAGCTGTCAGAAGAGCAGCTCCCAGCCTCTGATCCCAGAATTACCAAAGCTTTGGTGAATAACAAACCCTAAAATCCGCATCCTAATTACAGTGTAATATCTAGAAATGAAAGGAGGTTGGAAATAACACCCTATAAACGATACACAAAGCTTGTATTTGGCAGAGGCTAAAACCACACGAAGGATTTTATAGTTCTTGAGACGTACCAAGTGAGGAAAATAAGTAGTTTTAGTGATTCCAGTAAAAGGACCAAAACTTTACATAGAATTTCTGAAAATACTCTGAGCCTTTGGAAGATCTTCACAAGGTTAAGAACAGACCTGCACGTTACCCACGCCAATCAGCTGGGAAGTATTGCTGCGGGAGCAATTTTGGCAGCGTTTCAAGCATCGCTCACATCAAACGACAATAAATACTAAAAATTAAAAACATAATACTGGTTTTGCTTCCGTGGCACAACTCCTCCTCTTTTTGCCTTTTTTTTTAAATCTCACCTTTCCCCTATGAACAAGTCCCATTCTAACTAGAAAAGAAACACTGGGCCAGTCTTAACCAAGATGCAGAATTTATTCTAAGAAGCCAAATCTGAGCAAAACCAAGAACAACAACAACAAAAAAGAAGTCAGGAAAAATTACCCGTGTGGGTATGGTGAACACAACACTACATAAAACTGGCAACACCTCAGAAAAGGTACCCAACCTCACATTGGGTGCCTGTTGGGAAGTCAAAAATTTGGATCTAAACTCCTTGCCTTCTGGAGTGGTTCAGTAGCAAAACTCCCTGCACTCATTTGCAATTAATCAGAAACAAAATCCTTACCATACCACACAGAGTTCTGTATATCTCAGAATAGCTCGTTAGCCGAGAGTAATCTGAAGTAAGTGTCCATAATCTAGATCTTTTGTTTTTAGAGAGCATGTCAAAGACTCAGAACTGCTCGCCTACAACCACACAGCATCAATGTAAACCAAAAGGTTTGAGCTGCATTACCTTGAAGCCCATGATAACACCTAACTGGACTAAAAGTTACAAGGTTAACGCCAAAATATCACTAAATTCTCAAAAACCAAACCAACCGAGCAAAAAACCCAACACCAAGGAAAAAGGAGCTCAACTAAACTTCTCAAAGTGAGAACACAGAAGATGACTGCCCATCTATGCCAAGTCCAGGCGTTTCTTGACAGCATGAGCAAACTCACCCAATCTCATTCTTACAGAATTTCACTTTCCCTTGGGAAACACCCAGCAGCCACCCGCCGAGCAGGGCACGCAGAAGGGAGCGTCGCTGCCAGGCTGGGCCACCCGCCAGCCCCAGGGCACCCAGGCAGAGGGGCGCTGCCGGAACAGCAGCCCCGGCATGGCCGGGAGCGTAGAGCTGGAAGCCCCAGCAGACCTGGCTAGCCTTGCGTAGCTGTGCTGTCACAGGTCTTTCTGTTATTGCAACTTCCTTAGTCCCTTCTCAAATGTACCCACTACCAAATAGTTAAATCAATTCTCTTCTTAAGGCTTTGTATCCAGCAGTGCTGTCAAAGGAGTTCTTTGGAAGATGCTCCTGTGCAATCATATGTCAGCTACTGGATTAAATGAAAGAACGGCTTAAATTGCTATCCGTGCATTTAGCATTTTAATCGTAAATATTTTCAAAGCTTTTTACAGTCATATCTCATTCCAATTTTAAAAACAGCAGAATGCCAGGAAGGGATTCAACTAGCATAAAAAGAAAAAAAAAAACCAAACAAAAAAGAACCTTCGCTTGCACTATCAAAACTTGACAAATTTAACATCGATTTCAGAGCTTGAACATGTGCCAGACAACTGACCAGTGTCTCCTACAGATTAAGGTTAAAAAAAAATAATTAAAAGACATCTTTCAGCGCCACTGGCAACGTAACATGGGTGGTAGACTACCAAGCCGCAGAGCAGCCATAAATTTTAGCACATCCTCATGGTTTTAAAACATTTTAGAACAATATACGCATCATCAGTTGACACACAGCCATCAGCCTATAGCTTAGGGCCAAGTTTCCCCAATGTATATGGTATAGCATGGGATGCAGAAGGAGTAACCAAGCGGCATCGCAGACCTGTGGTCCACAAAACCTTTTGACTAAGACATAATTCCCCCGGAAAAACAAACCACGCCTAACTGCACGGAGAATACAAAGCCATAGCCCTCCAACATTTTTTTTCTTTGTTTTGGGAAAATAGAGAGTGAAAGTATTATATAGAAAAACAAACCACGCCTAACTGCATGGAGAATACAAAGCGATAGCCCTCCAACATTTTTTTTCTTTATTTTGGGAAAATAGAGAGTGAAAGTATTATATACCCTCCTAGGGAAGCCTTCTTTTATAGCTGGTTTGGCTCTTGTGCTTAAAAACCAATGTCGGTGTAAGTTAAAACCATGACCTTAAAAGAATCTAGCTAGATGGGGTGATTTCTCATTTTCTGCCAATCAGTTTTAGGCAAAAGAGTAACTAAAAACTACCTCAACTACCTCCCAGCACTAACTTTCAACATTTTTCAATTAAGATTTTGAAAGGAGTAGGAATCCACCACACCCTCCTTATTTTGTTCTTCCACAAAGCCTTTACAACCAGGAACAGAGAATAAGCAAAGAGCTTAACTCTTCTTAAAAGGGAAAAAAAAGTTTCATCTAGACTTTCAACATCAGAAGAACTAGCACACTGTATCCTTCAATTATTTTTAGCCTTTAGAGCGCATCTGGCATGACTTTTTAGAGGAGCATAAAGCAAAGATAGCATCGCTGCTGCAATGCCCTCCTGGCCCAAGAGCAGAAACAAATTTCACAACCAAAGCGAAGAGGACTCTGATCTCACAGCCACCCACCGGGGGGGAGATGCCCACCTCTTAGCAAAGCTGCTCCTGAGAACATTGGAGAGAGTTTTTGAGAACAAGATGGGAACACGCGCCCCACTGAAATTCCCTGCATGCCAGCAAGCTCCGAGGGCAGCTTTCCGCAGCCCTTCTGAAAGGTGCAGCAGCTCTCAGAAAGGATGTCACGGCTGCAGGTACTCCCTCCTGCCATGCAACAGGTGCAGTAAACAGAATAATCCTTTTTCTTTCCATCGTCAGGCAACACAGCTTACAAACAGCAGATGCCACGTTGCACTTAATACCAGCTGACCCAATCTATCCAGATGTTTATTTATCACAGAGAAAGAATCACACCTTCACTGAGTTTCCATTCCACCCACCACATATTACATATTAAAACCAGCAGGTTCGCATGCCCGAACAGGAACCACTATCACCCCGACGCCAAGCACAATTTTCAGGGAAGCATAACCGGTAAATCTAGTAGCAATTGTGAAAGCAACCCACATAAAGCAGATGCAAATTAAGGAAAACTTCCCTTTTTAAAACTACTTACTCCGTACTTGTTTAATAACAGGTTTCATAGGCTCCAGCCAAATCTGAAATGAAAGAAAAAAAAAAATTACAAACTGACAATTCATATTTGAATACAATATGCAAACATCCAAAGTAAATTCAAACAAAGCAGGAATTTATGAGCATGTGTTTCTTCCTCACTGTAGCAATGCAGCAATTCCTTTGCTTTAAAAAAATTTACTTACATGTTTGAATCGACGTTTATCAATAGAAAAACCATTGATCCGTGCTTAAAACTTAAATTTTTCTCTCTGATAAGCATATTTTTAAAGAAAGACTACTGCTGTTCTAGTAAAAAGACTATCCATAAAACTAATGCAAAGTACTCTGGACGCTCAACTTTGGTTTTTTCCCCTTTTTTTTTTTTTTAACCTCTCCAAACAAAATATTTTAACAGTTTGGTCCTTACGAGTTACTTCCGTGTCTAAGAGCGAGCTGAGGATTTTAAGAACCTTATGAGATGCAGAAACACTTGGGAGACTTTGCAGAAGAAACAAGAACTAAGGAAGTTTTACTCTATCTCCTTGTCTCAAGAGCAGCATGTATTCGTGCCATTAGCATTCTCTGCGTTCTTGGTCATGCTTTCTGCGTGTGAGCCCTAAAACTAAAAAGAGTAATAGAAAAAAATAACATGGACACAGTTTTGGGAACATTTTCTAGTTTAGAAGCCACACTGTCCTCTTCGCAAGGTACGGGATAAGCGACACGGAGGCTTACAGGGTCAGTACTTACCTGGATCAATGATTTTAAAAGCCTGCAGGTCTACATGTCTGTTGAGGTTTAAATTTATTAGAAAGAGGTTCTTAACAACTCTGCAGGGAAATTACCTGAAGATAAATGTGAACACTACCAAAATTACACATGTGGTATGATTTTGTAGGTGCTCTACAGACCACGCTTTGAGTTGATGTCCCTCCTTTCAGGGGGAAGGAGGATTTTATCTACATCCCTGAAAGTGGGAACATCAGCAACTATTTAACTGCTTTATACATTTTTTGAGATATAACAAGAATCTGATTCCTCCCCTCTGCCTTATTAGTCGTCATCCTGGTGAGCGAAGCAGATTTACAAGAATCAAAGACAGAATCCTACAGAAGATTCCAGCAGACTTTGAAACTTTTCGACGCTCAAGCAACTGCATCCACCCAACCTTTTTATTACACTGAATTTGACAGGGAACTGTACATACCCAATACGACTGGATGTTCTGGAACTCAATCCCAAAGTAGTCGGATTCAATCAAATTCAGATGCTTGTAAACTTCCGTCAATAATGTCTGGCCATAATATTTTGACTGAAGAGGTAAAAAAAAACAAAACAAACAAAAAACACAGTGAGATGAAGATGAGTGAGTTTACAGCAAATTAGGAAAAAATTCTAGCATCTTCAGAAACTGTAGAAAAACATCTCACAGATTTTTCACATTATTTTTGTCACTGTAACACGCAAACATCCAGTACACAGGCGCAGCTCCACCCAAACAAGTTTCACAGGACCAGAGGAACTCAAGCTGGAAGGGGCCACTGGAGGTCACCTCCGTCCAACCTCCTGCTCAACGCAGGGTCAGCTGTGAGACCAGTCTGGATCAGCTGCAAACCATTTGCAGCTCCTTCGATAAACCAGCACCAGCTGTTTGTGTAGCTGGACGGTGTGGCTGGCCCCCAGCTGCAGCAGGGGCTGCCAAAACCCTGCTGGCACCCATCCCTGTCCCCTCGTTCCAACACCAGGGACCACACGGCCACACGCAGCTTTCGTGCCGGCAAGACTTCACGGAGTACGCGGATGCTCTCAGCGAGCCCAAGACTGCCAAGGAAGGCTGGTGCAGGGCAGTTGGCACCACACCAGGGTTTCCCCTGACGCTGGAAGCCCCGTCTGGCCCCGCAGGAAAGCCGGAGCTGGGCAAGCAGGGCTTCCCGGGGCCGGGCCACCGCTGCCGGGGACCGCGGCGACTGCTCATCGCAGCACATGCAAGGTCTTTGCTGACAGAACTAGAACTCGTCTTCTACAAAGGAACATCTCTGAAAACTCCTCATGTTTTTCTTGTAACAGTGTTCGAGAAAAGCCAAGGTCACAGTATACATCCCGTTAATTAAAAAATAAACAGGAAGGCTACAGTGGGAACCCCAACACCCTCCTCTCACAACATGCCTTCTGTGTAAAGTCATCTGTGATGAGCTCGTCCCTCAAGAAACCCTCTCACCAGCCCTTTCCACAGTCAAGTCAGGTGCAAAGCCACAAAAAAAACATTGGCAGAGAGTGGCTATGGTAATATGGGAGAAAACAGGAAACTTTCCCAGCACATCCAAAACAACTACGCTTGGGTCTACTTATTAAAACACATGAGCTTGCTCTCAGCATCTATTATGGTATGACTGTAGCTGCCACCACAAGAAAAACAGCCTTTATGAACCCACACATCAGTCCACCCAGATCACACAGAAAAGAACCCAAAGGGCTTTCGCATCCCTCGGTACCTGTTCCAGCAACACACAAAAGCTAGCAGGACTTCTCAGGGAATGGTCTGGGTTGGAAGGGACCTCAAAGATCATCTAGATCCAGCCACAGGCAGGGACACCTTCCACCACACCAGGTTGCTCAAAGCCTCATCCAGCCTGGCCTTGAACACTGCCAGGGATGGGGCAGACACAGCTTCTCTGGGCAACCTGGTCCAGTGCCTCACCACCCTCAGAGGGAAAAATTTCTGTCTTAGATCTCATCGAAATCTCCCCTCTTTCAGTTTAAAGCCATTGCCCCTTGTCCTGTCACTACATGTCCTTGTAAAAAATCCCTCTCCAGCTTTCTTGCAGGCCTCCTTTAGGTACTAGAAGACTGCTATAAGATCACCCCAGAGACGTCTCTTCTCCAGGCTGAACAACCCCAACACTCTTCTCCAGAGCAGAGGTGCTCCAGCCCTCGGATCATCTTGGTGGCCTCCTCTGGACCTGCTCCAGCAGCTCCATGTCTTTCTTGTGTTGGGGACCCCAGAGCTGAACGTGGTATTCCAGGGGGGGTCTCAGGAGAGCAGAGCAGAGGGGCAGAATCCCCTCCCTCGCCCTGCTGCCCACGCTGCTTTGGGTGCAGCCCAGGACACGGTTGTCTTTCTGGGCTGCCAGCGCACGGTGCCGGCTCATGGTGAGCTTCTCATCCACCAGCACCCCCAAGTCCTTCTCCTCAGGGCTGCTCTTCATCCATTCTCCACCCAGCTTGTGCTTGGGATTGCCCCGACCCACGTGCAGGACCTTGCACTTGGCCTTGCTGAACTTCATGAGGTTGTCACAGGCCCACCTCTCCAGCCTGTCAAGGTCCCTCTGGATGGCATCCATTCCCTCCAGCGTGTCCACCACAACACACAGTTGGTGTCGTCAGCAAACTTGCTGAGGACAGCTAGTGTAGGCTGCAGAAGAAGACGGCATGGCCACTGACATCCATGTTCTACCTTGGACCACAGAACTAATTCTGCAACTTCAGCAACCGGGTCTGACAGCACTCTGGCCAGCCGAGTTATCTGGCAGAACACACCTCAGGCATTCATGTCACCGAGGTCTTGTTTATTGGGAAAAGTCAAAGTGCTGGAAGACTCTACGACTTTCCCGTCAAAGTTCTGTAACTGACTCTCTAAACTCGGAATGGTGTATCTTTAAAAAGTATTAGGTATTATAATAAATCACCGATAGAGTTAGCATAATTTAATAAATTGCAAATGAAACATCTAACAGAACTTTAAGTTAAAATAAAAAGGGTTTAAAAAAGTAAAAAAAGATGGTGAAAGTTAGGGAAATTGTTTGACATTACATAAAAAGCCAAAAGTAACTGCTTTGTACAGGAGAGGTTAACTGTCGATGTTTTTAGAACTGTGCAATTTCGCTAAATACCTCTGCACCACTTCAAAAAAAAAAAAAAACTTCAGTGAGAAAAAGTCTGACAGCTCTGCAGTCCTGCAAATCTGAGATAGCTTTGGGAATTGTGCTGGTGTGAACAGAGCTGACCAAATCCAACACCATAACCAAGAAGGAAAGTGGAGAAACAGAAGGACAGAGAACACCACGAGATCAGCCCGTCCTTCTCATCCGTGCTTTGCCGAGGCAGGGCAAGGGCAGCACAGGTCAGGTGAACTCACCAGGCACAAACACCACTCTTTCAGAAAGTTTCTTGGTACCACGCTGGATCAGGCCAGCGATGCCAAAACCCCCCAAATAAAACGGCAAGTCAGGAGAAACGATCCACTTCTTCATCACTTCAGTGGATACAGAGATGTCTGGTTGGGAGATGACACAGTATGGTGAGGAGGAGAGGTCTCCTCTTCTTCCAGTCAAGTTTTGCCGTGTCTAAATGGCATTTTCTTTCTAAGAATTCAGTTGGAGTTTTTTCAGCCAAAATCCATGCTTGCAGAAGATTCCGTGGGTATGGTATGGATTTGATTTGGTTTTTAAATGTTTTTCAGATGATGTCAGTGAAGCAAGGAACGATACAGGTAATGACAAACCACATCTTCAGTAAACAGTGCTCGTGCTCTTCAGTCTACAGGCACGTTTCCAGGCACGTCACCGACTGCTTGCCACAGGACCCCCATGCTCCCCAAGAAACGCACTTCGAAAATTAAAACTTTCAAACGAAAGGCATTGCTTGCCTTGCACTTGTGCACAAATCTTAAAATAGTAACAGAAAAAAAAATCCTTAAATACAGTAGGACTTTTTTTATGGTAGAGACACACCTGCATTTTGTGTTACTGGATGCCTGCTGTTCACAGGCACCACAGGTTTGAGCATGGAATACTTTTCATCCCCATGTTTGCGGGGATGCAGCAATACCCTGACCGACCTCCAGCACCTGCACCTGCAGAAGATAGGCCACATCAGCCTGCCTGGTCACCAATGGATCTACTAACCTCTAGAAGCCATTGACCAGGAGATGTCCTGGGACCCCAAGTCTCTGATTTCTCATTTGTGAAATAGGCAGTAATTCTGGTTCCCATCACCTTCTGCTGTGACTGATAAACCTTGACTGACTTGTGAAAGGTGTCTGGTAACATTCAGACAAGTTTCACAGTCTAACTGTGTGCTGTCCATGGCTAGTTATCAACAGCCATTCGAGTTATCCCCATCGGATCGTAACAGGGCGTTCAAACCGAGCTGCATCTCCGCGGCTCCATCAAGCTCCGCGCCCGATGGCAGCCCAGCTGCCTTCATTTCTCCCAAAAAGGGAGTCTGTATGGCACACATGCCCCTGGCACCTCTCCTTCCACCGCTTCGAGAGAAACTGGAGATGAAGAAATTAAGGTAGTGGGAGCTGGAAGCACTTTGCAACTGATTAAATCACAAAGGTGCTATGCAAACGTTCAAAGCGTAGAGTTACTTTGCCTGAGCTATCGACTATAATTTTGGCTGTCGTTTACAATAACAAGTTAAGAAAATCCTCATTCTAAGCTGAATATCATTTCATAGCACTTCCTTCAAAGCATAAAGCAACGATAACAACGCCACATTTTAAAAGAACAATATTACTTTAATTTGATTTTATTTTTAAATAAAAATTGATTACAAAAGCTTGAGACAGAACACAATCTTTTATTATTATGCCTCAAACTCTGTGGGAAAACTCTTCTTAGAGCTATTCAGTTCCTCAAATTGTTTGTTACATTTATAACCTTCCTTTCCAAAGACATTCTTTAACATTTTGAAGTTGACAAAAATGAAAGTTACATAGTGGGTAGCTCCATGTCATTGTCTAATCTGCATAAAAGCAGCAAAAAGCAAAATCTTTTCAGTAACTACTTAATTACTGCAACTTTGACGTCAGGGCAAGAAGCTGCATGAATGCATTTCAGAAAGGTCCCATTTTCCATACAAATTCACAACACGACATACTTTCCATTCCAAACTCCTCAATTACTCTTTATATTCTGCCAAGACGACAACTACTGGTATTGCTGAATTACTGAATTATTTCACAGGAAAAAAGAAAGAAAAAAATCAGGGTAAAAAAAAATAAATTAAATAGGCAGCTAACCAAAGCGTTCCTCAGTGACCCAGCTCTAACTGTACAAATGTAAATAAATAAAATAAAGTCAGAACGACAGTTGTTTTTGTTTTATCATCCTTACTGTTATTTCCTATTTTCTCAAATATCACTAGCTACACGGCAGATCCTCCCTCTGCCATAATGTTTTAGCTTAGAAAGACCGAAAAATACACTAGGAACACACAGCCTATGATTTCCAGCAGACTGTAGTTTGGTATTATCACAATTAATTCTTCCTCAGTAACTCCCAAACATGTCTTCCAGAACATCCTAACTCTCTGCTTCCACGTATTTTAACTTAAAAACATTAAAAAAAAAAACCCGTGTTTTCATAATGAGTAGTATTCTCGTATTCCGAAACGGACAAACTGCCCTTGCTCAAACTTTCCAAAAACGAAATCCGCTTTTGGCAGCAGTTGGGCTGGAAGGGGGGGGGCAGGAATGAGTCCAAAAGCCAGGAGTTTGGAAAAAACGGAGAGTTACAAAGCAGAGGTACAGAACGGAAACTGGTGCAGCCAGAGCCGGAGGAGCCGCCGGCTCCCAAATTCGGCGAACATCAGCTGACCTTGGATTCTGTGTTACAGAAATCCCAACTGTTGGGAGCCCGAATCCTCCGGGAACCAGTGGATGTGCCTGAGAGGAAGAAGTTGGTATTCAACACCATCACTGACAAGTGGCCAACACGGAGCGCCCCGCGGGCATGAAAAATCAACCGAGCTGACTTAAAGCCCCTCCACCATCCACACTTTTTACTTTTTTATTGCTTTTGGTGCACTTCGTGGTCTTCCTAATGAAGGAGTGACTCCTTATCTTTTGGCGAATGTCAAAAATGACAATCAGCAACCAAACACAGCAGTTACACTAGATTTGTTATTTCCTTCCTTAACCAGAAACACACAAACATTTCATGGAGTTGATAGCTCTGTTTATCCACAGCCCGTCTGTATG